CCTAGGCTACGCCTCCCAAGCTTTCACCCACCCCTCCCTTAACCATCAATCCGCCGACCCCACATCCCCCGAAACAGAAGAGGCCGCCTTCCCTGACCACCACTCCGCGCAATGGTTCAACGACTTCCGCCGCGTCATCCTCTCCGCGAAAGTAACTTCGCATGAGATTACCTCATTACTCGCAATGCTCTCTTCCAGCGTCACAAACGCTCAGCCCTTGCCTCCTTATCTACACGCCCCACCAGGTGGGCAGCTCAGCCGGAAACTAGAAATGGTAGACCCAGAGATCTTGAGCTTGAGACACATCGCCGAGCCAGGTTACGCGGCGTTTGCGGTCATGAGTATAAGTACGAGATGTATACACATGGATATTGAACGGTTGTTGAAGGCCGTCAAGGGGTTGGTGGGCGAGTTGGACTTCTCATTCCATGTCGTTAGCACGAAGGATGCTGCGAGTTCGGATGACACGCTTGTTAAGAGGAGTTCGAGGAAGCAGGATTAGACATGTTATAGATTGTACAGCTTTTGTAATATTTGGTAAGGGGAAAGAGATTCACACGATTGTATATAAGGCTGGGCAACGTTGGTTATGACAAAAGTGTAATAATAACAGGGGGCGTCCCCATCCATACGAAGAATCTAGCTAAAGAGCGACGAGAAGACATCATCGCCAACCGTGTTACACCACATCACCTCTCTCTCGTCAGCGGGCATCGGAGTGTTGGACCCGGCGCCGCTGACTCGAGAAATCCGAACATTGACCAGAGAGCACCAAACCATTCTCGCAGAAACGCTCGCCGTATCGTCCTCAAGTTTGAGCAAGAATTTACTGGCAAGTACCAACAGCCCTCGCGGAGAAGATGGGCTTGTTAGGTCCGAATGTACCGCAACGACCGGTGACGTCGTAGACGATGCTGTTGACGCTCGAGCAAGTGTTGTCAGAGTAGGCAACGACTGACACGATCAGATTAGTTCTCATCATCCCGAAACCAATTACTTCATTCAAGGCAACTCACGAGTGCAACCAGCAGGCAGCGCCGGCAAGTCTGTAGGGAGGATCAACGCGGAGTCTGTGTTTCCGCTGAAGATGGGCGAGGTAGGGAAGCAGGAGCCATCGGCGGGGATGTAAGCGGTCGTCACGGCGATACCGCTGTTGCAGCCTGGGCCAGAGTAGAACTTGAGAGGGATAGTGTCAAGGCGCTTGCTCATCTCCGTTGGGGCAGCGCTGATGCTGACGGCAGCGATGAGGAGGGCGATGGTGGTGGTGAGCTGCATTTTGAAGGGTGTGTGGGGTTGGTTTGCTTGAGCGAAGTGTAGTTGAAGGTGTTAATGATACTGTTGTGATGAAGACTAGATGATGGGTAGATGCTGTATTATTTATACTTTGTCGTGAGGCTCATTTCCTGGGCCAGGTATGCCTAGCTGTTCACAAAGTTTCGTTAGCCTACCTCTGCTGACACGAAGGATGCCTCTTCGCACGGACATCTCAACGAAGTTTGCATGGCCTATGGATCTCTTGAAGATGTTGGTGTGAATAGATACGAGGGCTGACGTCTGGCGATGTCGGCCTACGGCGCAGGTATCATGGTGGATCAAGCTCCCACATCCGACCCTGCGAGATATCATTGGTCGTCCACTGGATAGGGTTCTGGGAGGTCTGGCTCCAGGCCAAAAGAGGCGTTATTTCCAACATCTATGTGACTAGGCTGGTGCCTTCGCGATGCTGTTGAGAGCTTGGGATGCACATTTTCGCCTCACCGCCAGTAGTCAATCGTGTTGGTGGTGAGCCAAACTTGTTCCCCCTTCTCTTCTAGAAGGCTGATTCACCCTCGTGGGTTGGCCATATCTTTCTTAGCGCATCTTACTGTGCAATAGTTGTGTGACCTATAGGTACATGCTACTGCTCAGCTCACTCAGAAAGCGCAACACCAATTGCGAACACGTAACAGCACTCGGGTTAAGGCCGCGATGAGTCGAACGGATCGTCGGGTCGACCGGTACCTGTTGGATGTAATACGACAGTCTGCAGATGGGAGCCGCCAAGGTTGAGGAGGATGAAAGGGTATGCATCGTCTGCATGATCCTGCTGCACCGCATCGTCGGATATGTGGACCTTGTATTCCTTGATGCCATTACAGTCTTCGCAGCGAGATGCTTTGTGAGCAACGTATGAGTACGTAGATAAGGTGACAGACGCTGGTTTTGCGGAAACCGACGTTCTCATTGCTAAGAAAAGGCTGTGAGCTCTCCGATCCGATGTGTTGCTCGATCTCCCGTAAGCATAACCCGACCTGTCACTGGATGTGGCGCATCCCGAGTGAAGCTGACATGCAAGTGATGTGACCAACCTGCATTTCCAAGCAGAGGTTCTGACGTTCGTTTGCCTGACACCAGCCATCGAATCGATGATATGTTTCTTTTCTCGTATGAACCTGGTCTGCTACCCTGGTAGGCGATCCTGCGAGGCTGGACGTCCCGTGCCGCTGACAAGGTCTAGGCTTTCCGAAGGGGCCGCATGGTAGCGGAAGCGCTAGGTTCCTTGGTGAGCCGTACGGAAGCGATGTTGGTGAGATGGGCTAAGCGCGAACGATGGCCTGCAGTAGGTGGTGCAGGTAGGTGTAGATGAACCGTACTAGGGAGGCCACGATGCGGATTGAGACCGATCATGGAGACACGATCTTATCTGCACCTCTTTTGTAAATCAAACTGGTCGCTTCAATGACGTGCGTTAGTATCCGAGCACCAGGCGTAGCAAGTGCCCTTGGAGTATTTTTCCACTCAGATCAGATGTTGCCACCCAGTTACTATAGGCTAAATGCGATGCGACGCAGGACCGGCCCACGGACTTCCTCGCTTCGAAACTGCAGCTCGGAGATGCTAACGGGAATCGATAATTTCGTAACACAGATTTTCGTTGGTCGAGAGGTGAGCATCATGCCCGGTGACGCCGGAGGAACATGAGGTGGCTTTTTAAGGCATCTTTCCACTGCAGACTTTGTACACGTCGCCTCATAATCGAGTAGGGTGGAAAACAACAGCGATTAAATTGCGACACGCCATGAGCCTAAGGTTTTGTTGCTTTCAAAACAAGATTGACGTAGCGTGGTGAGGTGGGAGATGAAGGACCAAGCGGTAGATTTGGAAGCGAGGCCAGCTTGTTGCTTAGTCATGCTTCAGTGGCGGGGCAATCGTGAAGGAATGCGACTGAAGTCATGCGCGAAGTTTAAGAAGTTGCTTTGATAATTTGAGCAATGTCCTTCACCGTTTCAACCTCATGCGATTCACATTGACTAGGTATGCCTCGAGGATGGCCCACACTTCCGTCTAGACTTCCGCGGCCTCGCGATACTCGCGTCTCTGTCTCAAAATCATCGAAGCCATATCTTCACCTGATTCTCCTCCAAGACTTCTTACGAAACCAAAGAACTTACTCTCTTGATCTGGCGTCCAATCAGCTGGGATGACGGTAGATCTAGACTCTAACAAATCGATGGCTCTTGTTCCCTCACTGCGCCTTGCCTCATAGGCCTTGAAACTGAACAAGCTTCGCAGACCCTCACACCCAGGTTGGCTGCTCACGGCGTAGAAGTCTTGCAGTTGCTTTTGTGTTCGTTCATCTGTTTCTGATGCCATATCGTGAGCGCTACGTCCATCGCTATCCCGAGCCATGATGGCTGCTCCCGACATCTTATTGAGAAGTAAACGGCTGATCGAGCAAGCTTCTTCTACCTCTCCCAAGGCGGCCATATCGCGACTCGAAACATGGTGTAGAGCTGTTCGACCAAGATTGTCTCGGTGATTGATATCAGCTCCATGCTCTAACAGGAAGGCAACAGTGGATTCAGTGCCTGAATGGCTTGCTAACTGCAACGCAGTTGCTCCACCAAGTCTTCCGACGGTGCTTGGCTGTGTTGGGGTATCGATGGGAAAACCACAGTCTAGCAAGACCGTTACAGTCTTCAGGTCTTCCACGTTTTCTGCTATCCTGGATGCGACGAGTCTGTGGAACGCAGTGTTGCCTTCCAAGTCCGAGGCATATATATCTATGCCTGCTTTGATCAGGGTTGCTGCAGCGTCATCATGTATGTACTCCCCCACACGAGCATAGTGCAGAGCTGTACGACCCATTTGATCCTTTAGATTCAACTCGGCTCCTCGTTCCAACAGCAATTCTACAAGACTGGCACATCCATAATAGACTGCAAAGTGTAGCGGAGTTGCACCAGGTTTGTTCCATTCCAATTGGTCTGATTCATCAGTACAGTCTTCCAGAAGACCAAATACGACTGAGTCAGCTGAAGTCTTAGCCAAGGCTGTGGTGGGTGTGTTTGGAGTGACAATCGCATCGAGCAACGTATCTGCAATGGCTAGCGCCCCAGCACCGCAGGCGATGTGAATTGGCTGCTGGCCTGCAACATCCACCGAAATCGGATTCGCACCGTGTGATAGTAGATACTCAAGGACCATGATACTTCCGGAAAGTACAGCGTAGAAGATCGGAGTTCGTTCGCGCTCATCTCGTATGTTGACATCAATTCGACGATGTTCCACACAATAGCTCACCAAGTCGACACGCCCCAGGAGAGATACCAAGTGGAGTAGGCTGAAATTCCAACGGAAAGAATATCGGGAATTCGTGACGGTCTGGACGCATATCCAATGATAATGCGCCGAGTCATTCTCGTCCAGCAAGGGATGATGCATGGGTGACGCATCTTCTGTCGCCATCTCGGACAAGTGTTGCAAACAATATTCCAAGGAGTATTTCAGCAACGGGTGTAGCTCGAAGTCTTCGTTGACGTGATCTTCATCTAACGATGAGCAGTCCATGTCTGGATTAGATGTGATTAGGGCGTGGGAGTAATCAAGGGTCCGTCTAGCAAGGACCCAGTGCGACGTGGAAGACTCAAGCAGATTCTCAGGCACTGCATCGTTATCGGACTTGATCAGAAAATCCCGGAATGATGCGTGCACAAGTGTGACGTAGTTTGCTCTTGACACTACAAGCAGATCTCTTGCACACTGTATGAAATCGGCCGTGGCATCTCCAAGGTCTTGATCTTCTGCCCGTGGTAACTCTAGAGCTGTCCCGAGTTCAAGTAGAGTCAGAGGGCGGTATGCTGTTGCCACCCACTGTATGATCCCGACCACTTTGTCTTTCTGACGCTCTGGTAGCGTGCGTAGCATTCTGGCATAGACATCGTTGAGACCTCGTGGGAATTCTGTGATGGCACCCTCGAGCTCGGGACATGTAACACCCTCCAATGACTTGATTGCGAACTTGACCCACAGATAACTTCCATCGGCGCCGTTGACGAGCTTTTGTCGGACATTAAAGCGTAGTTGACTGAGTTTGGGCTTCTTGTGTTCAGCGCAGGCCAGAAGCTTCATTCGATCATCGATGTAATTGTTTACGTCCTTCCCAATCTCGACATTATGTGTCGCATCGATGCGCAATCGAGGAAAGTTATCCAAGAATGCCTCAAATGACTGTGGGTAATTTCTGCTGATAGCGATAGCCTTGAGTCTTGTCGACGGGATCTTCAATAGATCGTGAGTTGTCGGGGCGAACACATCGCGGATCTTGACCAAGAACGGGGCGAGGGACTCTTCGATACACTCGTCTAGGCCATCTAAGATGCAGGTAACGGATTTCAGCGTCTTATCTCGGATCATGGTATCGAACACCCTCCATAGGGCTTCAAACTGAGCGTCGTCAAACAGGGACTTCCCATGGTTGGAGAAGGCCTCTTTGATGTGGCAAAAAGTTGCTTTGTTTCTGACGAGTATTTGATAGATAAGACCTCGAAGGAGTGAGGGCCCCGAGTTTAGTCCGTCTTGGGTCCCGCAGAAGAAGTAGATGACCAACTCCCGATCCGGCTCACGAGCTCCGACTATCTCGCAGTAGTCGACAAGAAAATGCGCAAGCATGGTCTTTCCTTTGCCAGGACCTCCGGTGATCCAGATCAATCGTGGAGGCTTCGATTCGTGCCACTCGATGAACTCTTTGGTGCGTAGAATCCATTGGCAAGTACCTTTTAGCCAGCGACCGTTCCTGGTGATTAGATCTTCCTTGTGATCGCGAGGGTCACCAGGAAGACTACTCAGAAGCTCACGAAGACATTCTTTGTAGTGGTCCTTCTCCTCGTCACGACCTATGTAGGTGTTGTTGTTCCCTAGTAATGTGAGCAATAAGCTTTACACGAAAGATATTGGGGATCTGACTGACCAAGATGAAGATTGCCTCCGGCATGAACTGTTCCTTGGTTGAGTGTCGAACCCATCGTATTGTCGCCAATGAAGGCTGATGAATGTTTTGAATCCATACTTGGGCTATGATATGGCCTACTGTTGGAGTTTTGAGATGAAGAGGAGATATCGTATATCTTACAAGGAAGTAATTGTTTGCTGTCTCCAAGTCGCGTCCCAGAATAGGCGTCAAGCTGCAGCCGCCCGATGTGTGACCATAGCAAAGTATGCTCCCGTCTGATCACGGAACTTCGGCAATCGCGCTTGCAACATCAGCCTGAGTTTGCAAAACCATCAAGCCATCGATGTTCCAGCTGTCGTATTTGTGCTGATCCGTTGATTGCTAAGTGTTGGATGTATACTTGTCCGAATTCCCCGATAATGGAAGGCGAGGCAATGCGCAAGTTCTTCTCGAAACGCAAATCAGCTACAGGCCGTGTAGATCTCCGCGGCGGTGGGCGAGACCATTCGGCGGCGCCAGCACCCACTGATCAAGCATTGGTGTTATCGTCAACAACAAAGACAAGGTGAGTGACACTGATGTTCATTCGACCTAACTCTGACAATGCAGTATGCCAACCGAAGCAACCAAGGCCTACGGACCACTGGTACTGAGCGACCCCGATAAGGCAGTAGTGGAGTAAGTGCTGAAGGCGTCGCTACTGCCAGAAAGCCTGCTAATCCCTGGCAGTATCGTCTTCATCCATGGCCTTGGAGGAGATCGAACAGGAACTTGGACAGAGCGTACGGCGGATGACAAACAAAATCCGTGCTTCTGGCCCCGCGATCTGCTTCCTATCGACCTTCCTGACGCACGCATCATCACATGGGGCTATGCTGCAGCAACTATTAAGCCGTTGGGTGTCGTGTCGATTGCAAACCCAACGCAGCACGCGGAGAAACTCTGCTCAGAGCTAGCAAGCCTCCGAGTTGATGTCGTTGATCGCCCGATCCTTTTCGTCGCTCATAGCATGGGTGGTATTGTAGCTAAGAAAGCCCTTCTCAATTCGCAAGACTCCAATGTGGACAGTATCGCGCCATTGGTAGATGATACACGCGGCATCATTTTCATGGGTACGCCTCATTGCGGCTCGAAGTCGGCTGACGTAGCCTCTTTCCTCGCCAAAATTGTTCGCGCCTGCATCTTTCAGCAAGTCAACCCTTCGATGATCAACGAGTTGCAGAGTCAGGACCCGCAGCTCAATGAACTCCAGAGCCACTTCCATCGGTTGATTGTCAAGCGCATCAAAGAAGATAGCGCCATAGAAGTATGCTGCTTCTGCGAGAGCGTCCCTTTGTCCGGATTTGGTATCATTGTTCCAGATTACTCGGCCGCTCCTCCGGGGTATGAGCGTATCGTTGTGGATGCGAATCATGTGGAGATGACGAAATTCTCGAAAAGAGAGGACCAGACATACAAGAATGTACTGGCGGAGCTGCGGCGAATGATCGAGTTGACGAAGGAGCAGCGCAGAGATGAGAGCGACCCTAGCATGCAGAGAGGCGATGTCGCCCACGTTGGTAACAACGATCGAGGTGCCTTGGCCAACTACGGAAGTCAGACCATCGGTACGGGTAATGGAGGCTCAACCCATTACGGTAAGTGATTCTTGTGCCATGATTGGTTGTTACGCTGATGAATCCAGGAAATATTAACGACTTCCGGGGTTCCTGAGCCGCGTTTCCGTTTTCCGTTGGTGGGAAATAAAGGATGTGTTTCGCCGTGTCGTAAGGCGTTGGTGTGTAGTTGTATAGCGCATTCGGAATGGTCACACCAGCTCGATATCCACAAGCTGATCTTTGACATCTTTCCACACCTCTCCCTGCATAGCCCCATGTATATATGCATCGCCCACCACCTCCCATGCCCTTCCAGTCTCTTCATCGGCAGTGTGCCGCTTTGACTCCCGTAAGACATAAGGAACATTGGCACCCTGCAAAAGCCATACTGTGTCTTCGCGTTCACAGCTAGTCGGCACCAGACCCAAGAAGCCATTTTTGGTCCTAGCCAAGCGCCGAAATTGACCATTTCTATTGATTGCACCACCGAATTTGTGGTCTTGCCAGTCACGCTCAATTTCTGCCTCGCTAGCTGTAGGCCCGAGGCGGGCTATGCGATCACTGATGGAAGACATAGAGGAATCTGGGCGATGAAAATCGGCGATGTAAGGACATTTGGAATTGAATGGAGGACGGCGCGGATATGTGCGGCTGGTGTCCATTTGTGTCAGGTTCGCCCCGCAAGTGCAGCTTTGCTGCTCCGTATGTCGGACATCAGCCCGAGATATCGCGAAGCCAGAATTATCGCCTTCGGAGAGCATGTCTATGTCGTGGAGGATTGGAGAAGCTATATCTTCGTAACCCGTTGTCGTCTCTCCATGATCAGGGTAGTAGAGCAAGCGATGGAGGCAGCGGACGACCGAAGCGCACGTTAGTCGCTTCACCACGTGTTTGAAACGGTCCATGTCGGGCTGGTGGTCAAGAGGCAGATGACCAATGTCATTCGCGACCAGTGTGGTGGTTAATGCCTCGCATCGTGTTTGTCCTGTAAACCGATAAAAGTTCGGAAGGTTCAGTGTAAGCGCGCTCCACTGAGGATCGAATTGCAAGCGCTTTCCATGCCATGCCCATGGTCCGGCAAGCTCCACAATACAGTCAATTTTGAACCCACAAGCCCCGAGCACGCGGTTATCCGTAGGCACAATCGTCAAGGCGTCCAATCTCGACCCCGAGGTGGCATTGTAGCCCACGCTTGCGGAGGCGAGCTCTGATTGATAGGCCATGTCTTCAAACTCTCCGACCCAAGTTGGATATCCTGGAAACTTTCGTACCGATAGGTCGGTAACCCAACTCAGGCAGTTGAGGTTCTTCGTCTCATCAATGAGACAACGCAGCGCTTCGATATAGACCTGCTCTGGGCTCTTACCGTAATCGGCAGTTAGCCCAAAAGCCCCGCGAGGTACTATGCCTAATAACGCGAAGACCTTGTCTTTGGGATCTTCGCACCCGGTCATGCGGGCCAAAGCCAGGAGTTGCGCAAAAGTGAAAGGCAATGTCTTCTCTTGCGTTGTAGGCGGGTTCAGCAATCGCCATCGATTGTGGAATAGCTCCAGAATGGCCTTTTCATGGTCGTAGTGACGATTGTTTTTGACGGGGAGAGTCAGTGCTTGCCCAACTGTTTCGTGAAACCGATGCTCCTTGATCCATGCAACCAATAGCGCGACTCTTCGAAGTTCTGAAAAGTCCAAGATGTCCGTACCGCACAACATACGGATGTGTCGAGCAAGCATGACTTCCTGAAGTACCCAGCAGCGAAAGAAATACTTTCTTGCGAGAAAACGCGTCAAGCTTTCAAAGTCTTTGGCAGAGATCGAGTCGACTTTTGCTTTGTCGTCATCTTCCAACGCCTTCTTCATGAAGTCTGTGTAAATTGAGCATTGCTGATCCTCTTCCATATCGTCGAAACATTGCAGTTTGTTGAGGCGCCGCATGATTGGTATAGCTTGCTCACTATCCTCATCCGCAGGGCCCAGCCACGATATGACCAATGAAGCTTGGCTATAGATCCGAGCCATCAAGCCAACCTGCGTATTTCGCTCTTGAACATCGTCTTGATTGACACATAATTTGTCCTAGCGATCAGCGTCTACAGTTAGTCGGGATACCATATTTGCTTCGCACGGGGGGTTACGAACAATCCAGAGGAATTGCCCTTGGCAGTCGACTTCCTGACACTTTACGCTCACCTTGCAGATAGCCCTGAGCGCGCACTCCAAGTTGGCCGTAACATTGACGCGCAGTCCATTGCAGATGATGATCACTTCCTGCACCCATGTTGTGGACTTTCCTTCGTCGAACCAGTACCGATACAGTGGGTCGCCCCAAGTGTAAGACAACGCGTGGAACTTCGGGGTATTGTGCTCAAGATCAGTCAGGTGGAGTGTGCATGTGATAGGTTGGTCGTCTTTCTGTACTGGGTGAAGCTCGATGACGCGGATCGATGTCGCTGTCGGCAAGGGAGTGTACAGGTCTGGATGTCGCGACAGTGGCGCGTCCATGGTGCACATGTGGGGCTGCGAACTAGCTCTAGTTTCGCTGGAGCACAATCGGCCCGACAGCACTATATAGCATCAGTAGTAACCTTGGCACAAAACAGCAGTAGAATACCTTGGAGAGGACTTATGGATCTCGTTCCATCGTTGTCGTGTCATTTGGAGCAAAGTTGAATTTGTAATTGAACCTTGGAAAGATCCAAAGTGAGGCAACGCCAGCATTATCGTGCTGACCAAGACGCTAACCACATTGGATCGGTTGGGCAGCCGTGGAAACGAAGAACTGCACTCTGCGAGAAGCACCGCGACATGGCACGACTGAGTGAATATCAACGAAGAAATAGATTATATCGTCCAACGTAATGCTACAGACATTTCATCAGACTGCGCCAGAAACACCCATCGATGCAATGCGAGTTTTTCCCTCTTATCTACGCACCTACGCATCATCACCCTTCTCCGCCTTCTTCTCCCTCCACTGCTCCTCAAGTGCCTTGACCTTCTCTACACCCTTCTTGTTACCAACACTGCTCTCCCACTCAGCCCACTTCTTGAACACACTCCGTATCCTCGAGGCCTTTCCGACCTTGGTCATGCGCTCAAACAGGTCGCGGACGTTGTCTGCGCTGCCGTGGCTCTGCTCCAACATGAGGTACATATCCCAGACATCGCCCTTCTTGGAGAAGGTGTCGACAAGGCCTTCAAAGATGGTGCGGCCGCGTTCGGCGTCACCATTGGGGCTCTTGAACTCGAGAGCGGCAAACTTTTGTGTCAGGTAGCGGTGCTGCGTTGATGCAACGGATTGGGTGGCGCGTTGAAGGAGAGCGCGAGCTCGTGTGGGGGAGGGTGGCTGTACGACGTCCATCAGGAAGGCTGCGTATGAGAGCCAGAATTGAGGGTCGGGTGTGAAAGACTTGTTCTTCATCATGGATTGGTAGAGGTTGTCCGCTTTCTGTTCTGGTATTAGCACACTTCGCAAGGGTATGGGGACACAGCGGTACTTACGTCAATCTTGCCTGATGAGATGTAGATCTTGATCATGCGCTCATGCACTTCGCGGGCATCGTTATTCTGGCACGCCTCTTTGAAGACTGTGTCCATAGCATCGTCGCTAGCGAAGTCGTTCTCAAGATGGAGAAGAGCGGTCCACACGTCAAGCTTCTCTTTCTCTTCCCTGGGGTTGATGGTCGCCAGTGCGCGACGGGCGACCTGGCGTGCCTTCTCGATCTCGTTGAGTTCGCGTTGGAAAACCATGTATCTAACCCACATTTCCGCGCTGTTGGGTTGTCCCAGGAGCAAGCGCTCGTAGTCGGCAACGGATTGCGGTCCATAGGCATCGAGATCACCAGTGCGGTCCTCTTTGATGGTAGCCTTATTGCTCTTCTTCTTCTTCTTGGGGGCCTCGTCGTCGGAATCAGGCTCTGCGCCACCCTTTTGCTCATCGAAGTCAAGAGTAGCACCTGTCCAGTCGAAGCCAGAAGTGCTAAGTCCTTGTGTTGCCGCTTTTGGCGCATCATCGTCAGACTCGTCGTCTGATACTCCTGCGTCTGCAAGCTCGATATCATCGTCGCTATCAGCACTCTTGACGCTCCTCATGTCTACGTCATCGAGCTCGATACCGCCATCTGAGTCACTTCCTTCTAAAGCCTCAACATCCGAGGCATCCTCCATGTCTTCATCCTCGTCTTCGTCGTCACCCTTGACTTCAGAGTATTTCAAGCTGAAGCTGATCTTTCGTGTCTTTGGATCGACCTTCAAAACCTTGGCTTTCACGGCGTCGTCTTTCTTGTACATTTCCTTGACCTTGTCCTTGTCGACAGTAGTGTCGGCTAACTGGGAGATGTGGCAAAGACCGCTGACGTTGTTCGAGTCGTCAACCACCAGGAAGACACCAAAGTCTTCTACATGCCGGACCTTGGCAGCAACAACCTGACCAGCCTTCAGATCGCTGAACTCGACCGGCTCGGTGTAGGTTCCTTGGACGTGAGAGGCCTTCAAGCTCAGCTGTGGATTGCGTTGGTCTGGCTTGTTCGAGATGACCTTGCCAGTGACGAGTTGGTCGACATGGAAAGCAGACTTCCAATCCTTGATGTACTCGTCTGAGAGGTGGCTGACACGAACGTAGGCTTCGACATGCGGCCCTAGACGGACGTAGATACCATTGTTGGCGACGTGCTTGATGAATCCACGGACAACCTGATGCACTTTGAGCTGATCCCTGTCCTTGATCTCGGGGTCTTTGATCGGTAGCGAAGAGCTCAATACCCTAGAAGGCCGAATAGACAATCCCAGCTTCTTGTTAGGAAGGTCGATGTCGATTACACACACGCGCAAGACGTCGCCGACTTTGAACTCGCTAGGCTTGGCCTTGTCGTAGTCGTCTGCCAACTGCTCTTGGAATATGGGTGCAGCAATGTTGTCGTTGATCTGGACGACGATGGATGTGTCGTGTAGCTTTGTAACACGGGCAGGCAAGATGTGACCTATCTTCAAGTCTTGAAGGGTCAAGGACTTACCAGTCACATTGGTCGCAGCTGTTAGATCCAACTTTCCGGCTGCAACGTCGACCGCCTTGACGCGAACCTTGAGAGCAGAGCCAACAGGGAAATTCTCTGCAACGTCAGAAAGCTTCTCCAGGTCGTCAGTCAGATCAAAGTAATCGATGCGACCGCGAACGTTGGCGGAAATGTTCACCCAGACGTAACGCTCGGCAATGTTGTTGATGAAGGCGACATGAGATGATCCGGGGGTGATTTTGTCAAGGCTCAACACGTCGGCTTCAGTCTTAACTTTATCGGTGTTTGCGGTCATCTCGAAAGTGGGCGTTTTGTTGTTTGATCGGGAAGTGATGGGGAGGAAACGGAAGTTGCGAGCATCGTGCCTTCCGAGAACCCTGGCTTGGATCTTGTCGTTCATCTTGAAATGTGCTGTTGGGTGCTTCTTATCTGGGATGCTATCCCAGCCATCGAACAATTCTGAAACCGAAATACGTCCTGGAACATTTGCCGCGAGCTCAACGTTGAGCTGTGTGTCTTTGACCGATCGAATGCGAACTGTTGCTAGGGCGCCGAATTTGATGTCGTCGGTAGATGTGATCTTGGGGTCGACAGGCTCTACCAAGGCCTCCCCTTTCGAAGCTGGAGCATCAACGACGTTGGCCGCTTCCGGATCAGATTCACTCTTCATCGACAGCCAAAAGAATCCTTTCCCAGCGTCCACATGTGTGACACGAGCTGTGACAGACTGATCCTTACGAAGACCAAAGTTTGGCGCTGAAAGCATGTCTTCCGGTAATTGCGACTTGAACAGAACACCACTTATGCCGTTGCCAAGCTCGATGAAGATCTTGTCGGGAAGAATGCCCCGCACAAAGCCGTGTACCGTCTCGCTAGCTTGGAGATCTTCAATGCTGATTGCCAGTTTTGAAGCCTGAGCGTCCTTTCGAAGAGTAGGCTTGTTCGAGACTGTTGCTGTCCTAGACTTGCCGTGCTTTGTCAAGACCACAAGGTCCTCGAGAGTTCCACCTACCCGAATCTTCTTCATGGTCGAAATGTCCTTCTTCTCCGATCCGTCGGTTAGGTGACCTATGCGGAGGGTAGCCTTGACACCATGGCCAATGTCCAGAGTAGCGGTTTCATCGGACTTCTCGATGACAGTTCCCTTGACGATGCCACCAGGGTTCAGTGCGTTGAAAGCAGCCTCCTTGTTGATGTCAACGGCAGCGGGATCCTTGCAGGATACCAAAAGCTGGTTCTCCTTTGCGTCTACAGAGACAATACGGACGTTGACGACCTGACCGGCCGAGAAGTGTCGCGTGGCATCCTCGATGTATGCTTCGCTCATCTCCGCAGCTGGGAGCCATGCCTTGACGTCGCCGTAGAAGCGTACGGTGGCACCATTCTTGCGAACGCTGACCAAGATACCAGGGCCAGTAGCACCCTTGGAGAGCATGGAGTAGTTTGTCCATGGCTTAACATCTGAGTTGACGAGAGACTTCTTTAGGGTGAGTTGGATCTGATGCCTGGCGGGTTCCGTGTAAAGCACACGGGCTGTGACAGGGAGACCTTCCCTAAACTTGCGCTCCGGATGTTGTAGACGGACGTCGGCCAGATGCATCTCTGGAACTAAACCGGTGATGCCTTCGGCAAGGTGAACAAGAACGGCGGTAGCTCCCTTCTTGTCAGCGATGAGCTTGTGCACCTTGCCCTTGACAACTTCACCAGCCTTAATATCCTCAATGCGAAGGAAGGGCTGGTCAAGGATCTTCTGCTCGAGCGAAAGCTGGAAGAGTCCGTCCAAAGCATTGTAGCCTACGATACGTGCTTTGTGCTTTGAGTCAAGCTTGTATGCGCCAGCCTCTTCGGAGAGAACGTCGACTTTGTCGTCAGAAAGTCTCGAAACGTGCGCGAAACCGACAACATCTTTGATCCCGAGGTCAAAGAAAGCACCGTGGCTTGGCGCTACTTTGATAACTTTCGCGCTGTCGACGATGGTGGATATGGGGAGGAGGTCGATCGGAGGCTTGCGCTCCTTGGGTTTGCCAGACATGCGGGTGGACAGACTAACCACATGGTCTAGCAATGATACACCGACTTTCCTGGGCTCGGAGTCTGGGCATGTGAACAGAACACGGGCCTTGACTTTGGAGCCGATCTTGTGCTTGGTGGAGATATCGGCAGCCTTCTCGGTCGCTCCAGAATGGTATGCGTCGGCGGTTGCGTCTATGAGACCGAGGATCTTGCCGGTCAGCGTGCTGGCTGTGGTGTCAGTAACAAGTACATCAACGGCGGTTCCTGGGAGGAAAATATCGACAGTGGGCGCTTCAGTCAGCGTGTTGCCCTTGGTCAAGTTACCGGCTTTGGTGTGGTCTGCGGAGAGCTTGACAATGCGCCCATCCGAGTTAAGGCCTGTGACCAGGCACATGAAGACGGCGCCTTCTTGTACCTTGGCATGCTGCACTTTCGGACCTAGTTCGCCCTTTGGCAGGAAGCCCTTCAGGCTGCTATCGTCGAGGCCGAGGTCCATGACCAAGCCGTGGTCCTCATTGCTGACCACGGAAGCCTGCACCATGCTGTTTACGGGTATCTTGCGCTTGCTGAGGCCCTTGTTGACCAGCTTGGGATCGATGGACAGCTCCAGCCTCTTTCGTGCTCTTGCACTGGCGTCGCTTGTCGCTGTGATGCATGCGCGGACATACTGTCCCACCGAGAACATGTCTTCTAGGTGCACATCTTCGAAGTCTTCATCGTCGCTTCCTTCTTGCTTGTCCGCCTCTTCCTCCTTGAGGAGTTTCTCTAGCCTCTCGTTGAGCTTGTCGGACACGGCGGTGAGCGGGACGTAACCAACGAGGTTGTTGGGGAGCGCGAGGACGATGTCTTGGTGAGATATGTCTGTGATTTGGCCGAGAATGATGGTTCCAGGCGACAATTTCTGCGATCGTTAGCATGACACTCGCATTGCGCAGAGACTGGCGTACCTTGTAGCTCAGACCCTCTGCCCTCACGGTGTCGTCTTTCTCCCCACTGTCGTGCGACTTCTTGCTCTTCTTGAGCAGCGGCTTCTTCTTGGACTTGGCGGCGGATCTTTCCTCGTCCTCAGATCCCATGTCGCTGAATCCATCGTCGCCGCCGCTGGGTCGCTTTTCGCCAGACTGCTCGAAAAGAACATCCTGGTTCGCCTTGATCGAAATCTGCTTGTGCTCAAGCGGCGTCAAGACGCTGGCGCCTCCTCTGGGGAACGACTTCTCCTCATCTTTGAAGACACTGGGCTTGGGTGCGGCGCTCTCAGGCTTCGACTTGGCCGGTGATGGCTGCTCGGCATCGGATTTCCGTCGCTTCGCTGATCGGTCGGTGGATGCGCCCTTTGCCTTTTTCGATGGCGCGGCGCCCTGCTCTGCTTTTCGTTTGATTGCGCCCATGATGCGCAAGTTCTCCGGTTGTGGAGAGGGTGGTGGTACTCAGGTTTGCGCCAAGAGTTCGAGAGTCGCATATGCTCTTCGACTTTTTTGGTGGGTCCATGCGCGCAGATTCTCCGACCCCCGACACAGGGAAGCCGCGGCTGGCACGTGAGCTAGAGTGGCAGGGCAACGCGCGCGAAAGAGAGCGACTCCTCGATGCAACAGCTTTCACGAGTTGTAGGAAATCTTAGACCACAAAATGAAATGACATTTGCATCCACCGTGTTTTCTGCGGCAATTCCGGAACTTTTAGCCATGTTGTACGGCAAACGGGAGGATATCTCGAGGGAAGGCCATGGCCATTAACGCCCAGAACGGCATAGTGCAGCACGTCGGTCGCGCCAGCTCTTCGCGACGTGCTTTGGCCGTGCGCCTTCCTCTCCAACCTCGCCGTCATTTATGGGCATTCGTCTTCTATTCCTATCGGCATCTTCAATTGCTCGCGTGTCTTCGCTTGATCGTTTATTGGTGTTGCTTGTGTATGTGTACTGCTAAAAAGGAACATGTCTTCTCCATGCGCCCCTCGAAGTCTGCTGCTCCAAGAGCCCACGCCGGAGCTCTTTTCATCACCACCTCCACCCTCCTCCGCGACTGTTTGCTCTCGCAAACCCAAACGGCCACCGCCTATCACGCCCAAGCGCTTTACACGCTTCTTCACCCCGCGAAACTCCAAAGATGTCTCATCACGCACCACCCTCACGAGGTCGGGTCGCCAACTACAAGACATCACACGATCTGCTCTCAATCGCAGCCGGGAGACGCGGAGCACCCCACGCAAGACAGTCAACTTCGTCGACATCGAGAACCCAATGCGAACCCCCCAGAGCAGCGCGCGGAAGCGGAAGATACCCTACCTGTCGCCCGCTAGCTCACCAGCCCAGTCGTCACCGTCGAAGCGATCGCGTTACGTCACTCCACCCGAAATCGATATACTTCAAGACGAGCTTGACTTGGATGAAGAGGAGCCTCCTGTATACCCTGCGCCCATCCGAAGGTTAACAACATTGGGTCGGCCGTCAAGAACATTGCAGCGGTCGTTCGGTGGGATCCTGGGTGTAGGAAGAGGGTTTCGACGAGACCATGGCGCCTCATGGCAAGACCAGGCAGCCAATTTCTACAGTGGCGCAGACGACCTACATCAGTTGTCGCAGGGCGCGCCGCCCTTCTGCACGGCCAGTTGCAACAGTATGTCATTCACTCATTACCCTACGTCATCACGATACTGACAACCCCTAGCCAACTCTATGCTCGCAATAGGCGATGAAGACGGATACATCCACCTACAAGACTCCGAAGGTGACTTCTCCAAACCCCATGTGTCATGGAAAGCCCACTCCAACGCCATCATGGACGTGCAGTTCTCCTCAGACGACCTACACCTCGCCGCCGGTTCTGGAGATCAGACTGCACAGATTGTCGATGTTCGCACGCAACAGACTCTTGCTGTGCTGGCGAAACATAAGTCATCAGTAAAGCAAGTTCGCTTCCAGCCCGGCGACGACAAGATGGTAGCGACTTCAAGTCGAGACGGTGCGGTACAGATTTGGGATCTCCGGTGCAAGGGCAACCAAGGCTCAATACACTCAGCTTGGGGCTCCGATGCGCCATATGCAAGTGTTGTACGCACGCTGGCCTCAGCGCACGCGGATATTACTCTCCCGACATCCACATCGTCGGCCACCCGATCACTCTCCAACAGCAAAACCGAAAACATTAGCCGACGGAACGACATTTCGGTGACAGCGCTCTCGTTCATGCCCGCAGGCCGCGAACATCTACTCCTGACCGCGTCAGACGCATCGACATGCGTTAAACTCTGGGACATCAGAGGCCGATACTCCCTGCGAGGGCCAGCCATCCCCATCGCAACCACCCGCCATCCCGAATCCCACAACCGCCACCGACACTTTGCTATCAACTCCTTGACTCTTAGCGGCGATGCATCACGACTATACGCCCTCAGCAAAGACAACACTGTCTACGCCTACTCGACAAGCCACCTCATCCTCGGCGTAGCACCAGAGCTATCCACAACTTCCTCCTCAAAACAAAAATACTGCGGTGTGGGCCAAGAAGGCCTAGGACCCATCTACGGTTTCCGGCACCAGAACTTCCATGCCGGCTCCTTCTACGTCAAGGCATCCTTACGCAAAGCATGCGAAGACCGCACCGAGATGCTCGCAGTAGGCAGCACAGACGGCTGCCCCGTGTTGTTCCCCACCGACGAAAACTTCCTCAAACGCGAAACAAGACACGACGACGACGCAGATGACCTACCTGATATTACTGGCATTGCCGCGAAATCCGCACGACCCACGCTTTCCCGCACATCAACAAACAGCCGTTGCCCAGACACCATCCCCATCTACGAACACGGCACAGCTCTCATACGAGGACACGATGCGGAAGTCACGAGCGTATCATGGGCGCGTAACGGCAGCTTGATCAGTGTGAGCGACGACTTCCGCGTCCGACGATGGAAAGAAGGGAGCCAAGCTAGAGACCTCCGTATGGGTGGTGAAAGTGAGGGAAGGAGATGGCAGTGCGGATGGGCCGCTGTAGGAGATGGATACGACGATGACGAGTAGGATCGTCCGCGAGTTTTTGTACGACGTTGTTTATTATACCCCAGCTATTGATTGTGTAGGAATATGAAAGAAGAGAGGATGATGATCGTGGAATTCGACTTGCTTGCCGGTGCCTATCATATGTCTCTTCAACCCATTTGACTATGTATCTTGCTGCTGTGGAACGACAACACAAGGCCTGTGACACAACACTTGGAGCCAGCCACTCTTGTACCTTTCCCGTCTTGCCTATCACACTAGACACCGACCCACCTACCCCTTCCTCAGCCAAGGTCTTCCTTCCACTTTGTCATGCTTCGCATCTCGATCTTCTTCTCCATCATCGACATTCTGCTTCTCGCCAGCCTCACAGAAGCTTCCTGGTAACAGCCTATACCTCCGCTCATCAAATCGGTCCGCCTGTGTACTTTCGAAATTACCAAAAGACCCTGATATCACCCTGCGAGCCCCGCCTAGCATGCTGCCGAGAAAGCTTGTTGGCGTAGAGGGCGGAGGAGTGACGGGTTGTACCTGGGAGTTTGATAGATCTGACCGCGGTGATGTGGACGTATTGTCCGTCGTCTGAACCGCCTCCATCTGGTGTACACGTGCTGGTAACGGCTTGATGGGCCGATCGAAGCTGCCAGGCATACTTGCACCCGTACCTCTAGGCCCTGACATCGTCTTCGACAGAGACTTATACTCCAAGGGTGCAGCAGGGAAATCCGCTTCTTGAGACGGCCGCACCTGAAAGTTCTCCCATTGCGACGCTGTAGGTGTAGATGGAAGTGAGGTATCGTATCTGGTTGGCAGTGAAGGGTATGAAATCGTACTGTCGGAGTACGTACTCTGCGGTAGGTCTCGTGTTGGCGTAGAAGCAGCAGTAGAGGTAGAACTAGAAGAAGACGTCGAGTTCCGCAGGGAATCAAATCGCTGTTCCAACACTTTCCCCTGCCCGTCCGCGACACCACGTTTCCTCTTTTTCCCCCACACCTCTTCGTCTCGCTGTTTCCTCTTGACCTTGTCGTTTACATCGGCGTAGATAGTGCCGTTGAACGATTTCCACACTTCGACGCCTTTGCCGAATACGGTTTCGACTTTTCGATTTGTGTCGTCGGTCATCTTGTTGAGATACTCTTGCGCCTCGTCCTCGTTGTCTTCTTCGTCGGTTTCGGAGCCGTGCGTTGTGTCCATTATGCCGGTGTTGGAGGTGGTCATGAAGGAGGTGGAGCTTCCCCCATTTCGCCCGCGGAAGGTGTCGAAGAGTGACATTTTTCGTCGTTTTTGCGCTGGGGCGGAGGGTGGAGGGTTGGGTACATTGTTCATGGTGTTCGATGGTGTGTTTGTGGCGCAATTCAGGAAATAATGAACGGGGTGGAATGCACTCGTGACCAGCGGGCTGTGCTATTGAGTTGATAGATGCGTTCGTGAGTTCAGAATTGGTCGGTTTAGTGGATGTTCACACGAAGTTGGAGCCTAGATCTGGGTGTTTTGTGAGCTATGATGAATGCTTTCACTTTGGTATCGAGTCGAATTCAGAGACACTGATCAGATGACACCTCCAGGGCTGTATCGCTTGCCATAATGTCTTATGTGTCATGCAATGTTCACAGATCGTGCCTATGCGTCCTGATGTCGCCCTTTTGGCGTGTTCATCTAATGTCTTTGCCCAAATTAAACGCCATTTGATACCTACGACGTTCCGAAGTCGTCTTCGACAGAGACTTGTACTCCAATAGTGTAGCAGAGAAATCGGCTTCTTAAGACGGCCGCACGGGAAAGATCTCCCATTTGTAGAACACGAAGAGAGATCTATGTAACTGTTCTGTATAAGAGGGAGGAAGCTCTGTATATAGAGTAGAGCAAAGTCCTAACAATGATACAATAGATGCTATTTCTAGCTATTTGCTTAAAAGCATCTGTCCACCATCTACAGCTATTTCAGTGCCTGTCACAAAGCGATCCTTCATAATCCAGCCATACGCTTCAGCAATGTCCTCTGGTTGACCAAAAGTACCTAGTAGATTGAGTTGCTTCTTCACGCCTTCCTTTGCCTCTATCGGCATCGGGGCTAACATTCCTTGCAGCATTTCTGTCTCGATTGCGCCAGGTTTAACGATGTTCACCCGAAGCGGCGCAAGATCGACTGCAAGCCCACGCGATAATCCTTCTGCAGATGCTCCCCAGACTGCCGGAATTAGCCATCCAGGCAGAGGTTTTGTAGTTCCGATTCCTCCCGTGAGCGTGAAGGATGAATTTGATGTAAGATGCATGTACGCTCCGGTGCTGATGAGTTTAGCGATAAACAAGGGCGCGATAAGTCGGATTTTGGAACCAAGCATGGCTTGCTCAAGGGTGATGTCTGAGAGCTTGGGTATCGAATGGTGGTCTCCTGCCGTGAATGCGATATGATCCAACTTTTTGCTGCCGTTCGATGTAACTGTCTCAAACATCGTTCCTAGATTTGAATCGAGGTTTTCGGAATCTTTTAAGTCGATCGCGTAGCCAATGACATTTTCTGAAGGAAGAGATGGATACAGGGATCGAAGAAGATGGACCTTGTCTTCGATCTTTGCTTGCTGGGATCCAGAGATGATAACAGTAGCTCCGTTTGACAGTGCCATGCTGGCAATTGCAAACCCAATGCCAGAAGATCCGCCGAATACGAGGACGTGTGTGCCAGAGAGACGATTCATATGGGGCACAGCTCTCTGCGATAAAGGAGCATGATCTTGGACAGACATTTTGGCAGTGTTGATGTCAAATCATGAAATGAATTCCGCCACAATTGCTGCTTCGGTGCTCCTTATAATCTCGTAGCTTGTTGGTGTCGGCGTTACTGTGCCAGACGGTCATGTGCCTCGAACGGCTACCGGTACATGGCCGATCCGCCCCGCCAACCACTGACACTACAAACAGCAGGTTACTTGGCGGTTGCAGCGTAGTTTCTGTTCAAGAAAGGCCGAGCTGGACGAGCTAGTACTCGGGACGGCAAAATGACATTCCCGACGGGCTGACAGGCTTGTGCCCTGCGTAACTTCAAGACGCGTCCCATCAGGTGTCGCAATATTTCGAGAGACTCTTGGCATTCTGTCACGTGCATGCTATCCCTATTAAAGTAGGAGCTTTACTTAACATGGCAACTTTTGTCATAATAGAAATGCCAAGAGTCTCTCGAAATATTGCGACACCTGATGGTCCTAATAACGTGTTGAATAAGCGAACGGCGACCAAGCCGTCAGGAAGCGGTCCTGACGCGCGCGCCAGAATGATGGCACCCTTGCCTGGATAATTCCTTCGATCGATCCGATGTATGCGAGTGGCACAGTCGATCGCAGCTTACTCGCCATCACTCATCCTGCAGCGCAAGCACCATCCTCTTACCCCAAGTAGGCTCGGCATGCACTGATCGCCACTAAAAAAGCCTTCGGGACGGAGCCGTCACACGTCAATCCTTGTAGTGGCTGTCAGAACATCCAACGAGGATGCTTTCAATCGCGAACGGCAACTTGCCCTTACAGATCTTCTGCAAGCCATCATTGCGACAATGCATAAGGCTATAGCATCGCCGACTTGCACCCGCTTAAGATGTCTGCAGATCATGGGACTGTGTCATACCTAGTGAAGTACGGTCTTACAGTATAAAAGATGGATGGCGATATATGCTTTCGCAATGTTAGAGGTACCTCGTTAAGCACCACATCCCGACGAGATGCGCGTATCCGCAACGACAGTCAGTCTGCTGGCCTCTTTGGCCTCAGCCGACCTTGACAGCCCCAGCTTACTACAGCAATTCTATGCTCCTAGGCGGTTACTTGGTAACTCCTTTGGAAACCCTGGCGTTAACGCGACGTACGACTATGTCGTCGTTGGAGCTGGCTTGGCCGGCGCTCTCACAGCATCCCGAATCGCAGACGCGTTGCCAAACATGACCGTCGCAGTCATCGAAGCAGGCTCTTTTTACGAGATATCGAATGGTAACTACAGTCAGATGTCAGTTGAATTCGAAATGGTATAGCGAGCGCACATGCTGATCGTGGAGACAGTCCGTACTATTCGACAAAGTATGTTGGTCCAAATCCTGAAGATTACCAGCCCTTGATCGATTGGGGTATCTTCACCGAGCCTATCCCTGGTGCCAACGGAAGACGCTTTCACTATGCGCAGGGGAAGACACTTGGGGTATGTGCCAATCTTGAACAAGTGAAGCTGTTCAAGAAACTGACTTTGGGCAAATGTGTAGGGTAGTTCGGCACGAAACCAAGAGATTTATCACAGGTAAATATCTCCCATACGTACTTGTACTGCACGGTCTGACTGAGCTCCACAGAGCGACTAAAGGCTGGTATGAGTCGTTCGAAAACCTCACTGGAGATCCCGCCTACCTGTGGGAAAACATATTTCCCTTCATGAAGAAAAGCTTCTCGTTCACACCTCCAGATGCTCGTTTCCGCGCGAAGAACGCAAGCAACGTCAACTACACGCTTTCTGCTTTCGACGTCCCGGGAGGCCCTGTTCATTTAAGTTTGCCCAAGTACGCGCAGCCCATATCTTCGTACGGTGCAGAAGGATACGCAGCCGCTGGAATGAATGCGGCGAATGGCTTCCTAGATGGGAATCTCTTAGGGTATGGCTACTGGCCGTTTACCCTGAGGCCCGAGGACAGTACGAGAAGTAGTACCGAGTCTGCTTTCCTTTCTCCGACAGCTGCAAAGACATCCTTGAAGATCTACCAGTCCTGCATGGTGCGTAAGCTCCTCTTCGATGAGTCCAAGCGCGCCATAGGCGTGAACGTCACCGTCGCTGGGATGAAGCCGTTCATCGTCCATGCCCGGAAAGAGGTCATCGTCTCGAGTGGTTTTATCCATACTCCCCAACTACTCATGGTTTCTGGAATCGGGCCGCGCGAGGTGCTCGAGCGATACAACATAAACGTTCTGTCAGAACTCAGCGGCGTGGGCCAGAATCTCCGAGACACACCCGCTATTGGTGGCGTCGTCCATCGCACGAACGTTCCTGGGAGAAGTGCCTGGGAGCGCCAGTCATCATCTTTCGAAGCTGTTGTTGAGCAATACTTGACGAACGGATCTGGCCCGCTCAGTAGTCCCGCGAGCGATTTCGCCGCCTGGGAAAGGTTCCCCGAGCGCTTTACGACGAATATGAGCCAATCAACTCTCGACTTTTTGCGGAATCTACCAAGCGATTGGCCGAACGTGGAATACGTTTTGCAAGCTTCAGAACGCATTCTGTCATCTGCCCAGACTGCTAGCGACACGGGTGTCATAGGCACAATCTTAACTTCCACCACGAGCCAGGGAAATGTTACTATCCAGTCCGCTGACAATGCCGTTGCACCCGTCGTATACGTAGGCTGGCTTGATTCGCTCGAAGACCAAGAACTTGCTGTAGCGGCATACAGACGCGCGCGCACGATTGCAGCCAGCATATCCGCGTTTGGAGAAGAGATAGCGCCGGGGGCGAACATCACGACCGATGCGCAGATCTTACAGTATATCAGGACGAAGGGCATGGGCGCTATTCATCACGGCGCGGCGACGTGTGCAATGGGGAAAGATGCGTCGAGCGGGGCGGTCGTAGACTCGAAAGCTAGGGTGTTTGGCGTGAGTGGCCTGAGGGTTGTGGATGCGAGTTCTTTGCCGTTCTCGGCACCAGGACACACGCAAGGTGTCACTTATGCGCATGCGGAGAAGCTCGCGCAGGATATCATTGATGCAGTCAATGATATCTAGACTAACATAACGTGAGAAACAACACCAACACACTCGCAGCATGCGATCACACACGAGTCTGCGATAACATCAGCGTCATGAAATCTTGCGTTGTAGAGTATCTTACAATGAATATGACGGTCCAGAATAGCGTCAAATAGAAAAAGTACCACTCCAGACAGTGACGAAGGTGGCCACACCATGACATGGGTTCGCGCTTGCCCGACAGTTTGTCGAGCAGGGGCATTGTGAAGAAGGCGTGTAGCGGGGCAACAATAAACATGAAAGCCTGCAGGTGGAGTTCGTACGGCTCTGCTCCAGCCGTGAAGAAACGTAGGAGCGGCGGAACGCGGAGGGTCTCAGCTTCAAAGCGTGACAGTACAACTGCCAGGTGGTACATCGTAAGTTGGAACCTGGCCACGGCCACTTCAAAACACGACATTTGAGATGACGGCTGGTGGTATCAAGAAAGTAAGAACGAGAATAGTG